TGCTGTAGTTTTATAATATAATGAAAAGTCAACCTGTGATATTTCACCCAAAGGGTCCCTTATCTCCTGTCTCCTGTGGTGTCTGTGACATTCAATAGAAACTTCTCACAAACTTGTTGAACTTATATAAATCATGTATATTTTAACATAAACATTTGGTAAAACACTTATAAATGCATTTCCAATCTCGCAGTCACCAGTGCACCAGCATCAAAGTTCACTGATATGAAGGATCATAGTACCAGACTGCCAATTTGCCAATGGGTCACGTCTAGTTATACTCCATGATGGATGTTAAGTGGGTGCTTGGATTAACTTGCTACCACCATACCGTTTAATTAACCCAGCAGAATATGTAACCCAGTTCCATATAAAGCGACGTCAAGCGTACGTACACGTCAATGATCCCCTTCGTAAAGGTCAGGCAATCATTGGCTTGATGAAAGCAGCGGAAGGCGATAAGTAAGCTAAGTAACTATCGCTAACGAGTGGATATGCTTGAACGTGTGGCACTCTTTAAGAGGCAAGGCAACACTCATGTATAGATTAAGTGATACTGAAAGCGCATCGTTTCAAAGGACAATGTGATATGGTTTCAAGGCCATATTCCCGACGTTATAGCCACGGTCAGGTTGGAAGGTGAACGAAAACATGAGACGAAACGTCAGATCAATCAATCTGGGCAGCCTTAGAATCTATTTCTAGATATCATTAGCTACATGTATTGAAGATAAAAATCACTGATTTCAGAGAAGTGCACAGGCAACTGTTGCCGACGTCTACGGTGGGTCTTATTTTGTTTTTTATCTATCAAGTCCAAATCACACAGAGAAAGCCATGCTTAACGAGGAAGATAAATATCTAGAGAAGCACTTCTGCTTCCAAACGCTCGCCTATCATCAAGAGCGGAAAAACCTATGTTCCTGTTTTTGAGGCTACAAGCAGCTGACGACGGAGCGACTTGGAAGACTATGATAATGATCACTCGGGGATGGGACTATATTTCGTCAGTCCTCAGCAATATACGGCTGGTATGCTTACAGCAGCTCTTTCACCTCCCTCCGCTCATCCTTCACTGAGCTGTGTGTGACGCCCACCTCGCCTCTCTGCCAACACGCGCTGGATATTTAAGAAGTCAAATATTTTCTCTCGTAACACTGATGTCTTCGGATGGAAGGATCTGCTGGGGATATACAAGCCTTCGTCGAGTCAGTTTGTTTGTTTGTTACACTCTGCCACAGTTGGAGTAAATCTTTCAGCCGGTCTGAATATGGTTGGAATTATCCTTTTGTCTCGTCTCTCCAAACATTGCGTTGTGTTTTGTAAATATCTGTTACAGAGGGTGCGTAATGTGTTGGTTCCAGCTGCAGATGTAGGTTATAATGATGACTTGCTAAACAGGAAATATCTCGAGAATACCACTGCAGTTGGTAGGTTGAATAGTAGGACTTATAAGCTTCAAAACGAATTCCTGCTGGCCTGACTTTTTTTCTCGGGGCATCTCTAACACGGATACGGGGTGATTTTACGACATTTGTTTACGTCAATCTATAGCCGACATGAACCGTGGAGCCGAAAGTCACAGACCCAAAGTCAAATTGTTAAAGATGCCGCGTTATTAATCAATCAATATGTGAATTAGTTCCCAACTGTTTCGACTGGATGTGTCTTTCTTCTGGCAAGAGTAAATGGGAGTAACGTAGACACTACTACTTTGAACGTTATAGCACTTGTGGCGTCATCACTGACGTATATAGTCATATGTGAAACTCAGAAGAAGAGACTTGCCACACGCTACCCTTGTTGGAAGTCGAACCCGGCTCGCATGCCCGACAAAAGCACACTTTAACCACGTGGCTTCCCATTTTTGTTGACAGTCGGGGTTCATACTTGGGCCGATTTTTGGGTCTCAGAGGGCACGGGTGGCCCTGTCGTCAAAGGCGTCGTGATTCGCCGTGCAGACTTGCGTCCCTTGGGCACGCCAGAAACGTATGATTGTGGGTTCGAATCCCGGTTCGCCCCGATTATGTTTGTGGGTTAATCAGCACCACACCCGTGCGCGTGGGTTCCACCGAAGCGGTAAACGTCTGAGAACCGCATCACTTCGAGCTTTCCTCCCACATTAAGCTGACACGCTGTGATGTAACTGGAATATTGTTAAAAGCGGCGTTACATTCAACTCACTCACTCACTCCCTCTTGGGTTCACACTAACAAGAAGCGGATCCTGGCACAGCTAAGGAATGTTATTCTTCAACGCCCTAGACCACGTTACTTTCTCTGGATACTGTGTATGCATGATGGTATTCAGAATCAGTGAAAGTTTATTTGTGTACTCCGGTATTAGTAGGTTAACAAACATACCATGATTCATGTTTCGTAAACATTTCTAACGCTAGCCATTTTCCCGATTCACACCATTCCTACGTCAGGCTTCTTTGACAGTTTCTTTTGCAACTCCGCAACTGCTTACATCATTCAGTACAGCCAGCATTGAAAGTATCTAAAGAAATGACTCAATGCTATGTTCACTCATCCGAATCTTTTGGAGGTAGATAAAAACTTTAGTTTACAACTTGAGTAAGGCTATTTACAACTAAAGACTAAACCTCATGTATTGCGTCATAGATACCTTGGCGTGGTTGGAGCATCTTGTACACAACTGTTAGAACTGCTCACTATGAATTCGTCCCAAAACTAAAGACACGCTGTCGCCCACAATTCAGACAATTCCTACTATTATCGCCAGCCTTGTGACAATGTCTTTTTGTGTTGGCGTGTGGCATGAAACAAAGTAATATATTTGCATAATACAACTATCAAGGATAATAGAATAATGATTGATTTTACTGATAACAGAAATTATCGTTGAAAATCAGCATACGATGAAAATCAGCATACGACTGAAAATCGTTCGATTTAACATGCAATGCCATGGATCTAGTCATTAAACATCATCACATACTCACACATTATGTCAGTGGTGTGTTTCAGATGGGGAGAATACGCCAAAGCTTCATTATCGTTATGTCATCACACATGTAGCACATTGGAGCACATAGATATAGCACATCTGAGAACACTGAAGAAATAAAATTTGATTTGAATGCTGAAATCGTTGATACATATTTCGCTGATACCCATGCTTGGTCTTTAGGCTTTTAGAAATGGTACATGAAGACACATTTGAACAATAATGAACGAGTATAATTGGGATTAACGCCGCTTTTAGATTTATAATTAGGGAATCTCAGACGCTCAGGTACGGTGCTCACATACCTATGGTCATAATCTGAGATAATCCGGGATCATAGGACTATCGCACACCACGAGGACGCAACGCATTGAATCGACGACTGGGACACCAATACCGCCTTTGAAAATTGTGATGTCTCACGACATGTTCAGTACTGCTGCTTGCCACCACAGAGAGAGAGTGAGAGAGAGAGAGGGAAAGAGAGCACTGCAAGGGGTAGGGGTAGTGTAGGGACAGCCACCATCTCTCCTCCCTTTTGAAAATCTTAGATGACTCTCTTTGTCTTTCCTCGTCGTCTAGTAAAGAAATAACTAGCTTCATTGCTGGGCCGGGGTTGCATTCTGCCACTGACACACCGACAGGGGCGTATTTCCTTTCATCTGTTTGTTTGCATAGATTGTGAAAACATGCTGTAACTGTTCTCTGAGATAGCAAATCTGGAACGTTACTGGAGTTGTGTTCCCGTTGGTGCCAAAGACAAATACTCAAGATGCATCTTATAGTTCAGAGATACCTCCAAAACCTTCACGGAGGCTACTTTTCAGCTTTCAGAAAATTGTAATTTGTTTTTATCTGCCTAATTTGATGTTTTGGTACTATGAAAGGGCTGTGGAGATAAATATGGACACACGAAATCCCTGACTAACGTAGCTGTGGAAATTGATCCAAGGAAAAATGTAAGCGCTGATTTCAAAGCATATCCTGGTAGTTAACAACATAGCGCATATCCCCAACCTTTACCGAGGAATGTACAACATTGGGGAAAGCCACTACCCCAGACACAACACACGCTCTAACGGGGAACACTTGTTCCACGGCAAATTATGTACCGCTCAAGGAGACCAATAATGCTATGAATTTGTCTTTACGAAAGAACATAGCAGATTTTCTTATTTACCATGCACTCTCATCAGGGTGTGATCTCTTCCAGATTATTATGTTTGTATTTCATACTTTTCTATATCTTTTAAAACTTCAAAATATTGAGATAGACTCTGTTATTAGATTACTATGAGTCAACAAGTATGCAGATTATTGCACTGAATGAAACTTATTTGGTCGACGTGAAACTCTCTATGCAAGGGGGCGGTCGGGTAGCCTAGTGGTTAAAGCGTTCGCTCGACACGCCGAAGACCCGGGTTCGATTCCCGACATGGGTACAGTGTGTGAAGCCCATTTCTGGTGTCCCCCGCCGTGATATTGCTGGAATATTGCTAAAAGCGGCGTAAAACCATACTCACTCACTCACTCACTCACTCACTCACTCACTCACTCACTCACTCACTCACTCACTCACTCACTCACTCACTCACTCTATGCAAGTCCTCAGTGTGTATTTCTGGGAAGACATACTTATTGCGAGAGACTGCTGAGTGTTACTAAATGAGTGTTAAAGATGATTAGTACTTGAATTCGTTAACGCCTGGGAAGAAGATGTTTCATTTTTATCTTGGCTGATAAGTCATTAGTGATTGATATTGTAAACAACGATCCGCGCATTCGGGGTACGATGACACGTAATCACCGAGCCTGACCACCCGATCCATTTGGTCATCTTTTCTAATCCGAGATTCCCATGGGGGATGTTTTACTCCAACAGACTTTTTCGGTGCCAACAGTTTCTACAATTAGCCAGTCCAGGGTACGCTCAACAGGATGGTCCATAGAGTCACTCACTCACTCGCGAAGATCATGAAGAAATCACTGAGACTTCAGCAAAGCACAAAGAGAAAAACAAGAATCTATTTCGAAAAATCACTGACTTTATTACATAAAGAAACTGTATGTTTCTCTTAAAATGGAACATCTACATATCAAATATATACAAACATATCTAGTGTATGTATAATCTTTAGACTTCACGTGAATCACCACGGGATGAATCACGTGACGTGTTCCATGCAGGGAAAATCTCCACTATACCTAGGCATTCGTCAGTCTGACTGCTCGTGGACTCAGTGTCTTTGGAGCTAGCAGGGTCCATTCAAACACGTTTTTAAAATAAACCAAAAACTTCGAAAGACACAATGTATGTAACGTCAAATAATATACACCATAGCGTACACATTATATTACTTTAAACGTCAAATATGACTTGTTAAAGACTCATTCAGTTCTATTTATGATACAATGTATTACACACTTTTTGAAGTAACAAATAAATGATCGCAATTTGACATATTTTCTACAGAGCCAGCCTCGAAAGTGTTATTTTGGTAAGTTTACAAATTAATGCATTCCCTTTAATTCAATACAGACGCAAAATTCGAGAAGAAAATGGCAAACCCTAAACCTTCAGGTTCAATGTTACCTTACATGTACATTTCACAAAAACACCTGACAGGTCTAATTACTGTTAAGTGTCAGGGCACCCCAGCTTACCGAGATGGGAGACACACAGCTGTCAGTGCACCCAACATTACCGAGATGGGAGACACAGAGGTGTTAGGGCACCCAGCTTACCGAGATGGGAGACACAGAGGTGTTAGGGCACCCAGCTTACCGAGATGGGAAACACAGAGGTGTCAGGGCACCCCATCTTACCGAGATTGGAGACACAGAGGTGTGAGGGCACCCCAGCCTACCGAGATGAGAGACACAGAGGTGTCAGGGCACCCCATCTTACCGATATGGGAGACACAGAGGTGTTAGGGCACCCCAGCTTACCGAGATGGGAGAAACAGAGGTGTCAGGGCACCCCAGCTTACCGAGATGAGAGACACAGAGGTGTCAGGGCACCCCAGCTTACCGAGATGGGAGACACACAGCTGTCAGGGCACCCCACATTACCGAGATGGGAGACACAGAGGTGTTAGGGCACCCCAGCTTACCGAGATGGGAGAAACAGAGGTGTCAGGGCACCCCAGCTTACCGAGATGAGAGACACAGAGGTGTCAGGGCACCCCACCTTACCGAGATGGGAGAAACAGAGATGTCAGGGCACCCCAGCTTACCGAGATGAGAGACACAGAGGTGACAGGGCACCCCTCCTTACCGAGATGGGAGAAACAGAGGTGTCAGGGCACCCCAGCTTACCGAGATGAGAGACACAGAGGTGTCAGGGCACCCCAGCTTACCGAGATGAGAGACACAGAGGTGTCAGGGCACCCCAGCTTACCGAGATGGGAGACACAGAGGTAGTATACGACATCCCTGGGACATCGGAGCTAATCAATACAGTAATTTGAATGGTAGCTGAAATGCTTACAACTCGTCACAACAAATGACATGTACGAAACGGTTTATTCGGAACTGTTAAGTTGCTTCGTACATTTACAGGTACATTATGCAGTTACTTCCGTTTGATGAAACAAAAAAACTCAAAAGGAGACACAGCGGGTCTGCTTAGAAACTGTGTATTCTGAATTTCTTTCACGTTTGATTATCGCTGTCTTATTTTTCTCGTTTGACAGGAACTAGTTCTTAAGTACTGCTTACATGTACTGCTTTCAAAGAATATAATCACAAATCAGTTACCTAAACAAAATAACAGTATTATACTGAATATTATGAATGCAATCGATTGGGTTTCATTCAATTCTATGATACCTACAATAACTATTTAACACGATACGATGTTTAACGTGTGGGTATAAACATATGGCTGCTAATTCAGAACGTACACCTTTGCTAGTGTACACTAAGATGCACTTTTCACATGCGAGAGTGTCGCTGATGTTCTGTGATCAATTCATGTTAGTTTCATCACTATCACCCTCTATGCCCAATGGATTCTGTTTGGGCAGTATGAAACAGAAAATGACACACATGTTCAATTATATGACCTTCATCTCATACCTCATGGCAGTGGAACATTTTGGGCATTGACAAATTTAACATACAATACATTCTACATATCCAAATACACAACGTCTGTGGAAGATGATGTCATAAACGTATCATGTCCAATTCTATGACTTGAAAACGAGATTGATAATCACGAAGTGCCCAGGATACACTCGAATGGCATTTTACAGTATATATTACCTTGCTGAATGATGTTTCATGTCAAGTTATGCCACAGTGAATCGTGTGAATGCAGGTATAACGTTCCTGAGGTTCATCATTGCTGAAATCTAAACTCTTGGACATAGACACATGAGAAGCAATTGTACATATAAAATTTATCACTGACGGGTTATAGTCCCAAATAGGACAATCAATCCAAGACGTAGTGTTCGATTTGTCCGATTGTTGTTCCATAAATAACTATGCTATACACATTGCACAGTCGGCATACTGGAGAGGGTAGATTGGCATAGCATGGTGACGGGAGAACTGAGGACCGTCTAAGGTGGCGAGTGACCGGTATTGTCCACTGAACCAGCCACCACTAAAAAGGACATAAACACTGCTCAATTGTCTCCTCGACACAATATTTCAACCATCTACAAAACCCTGGGTTAACGAATGATTATGTGGATTACATATTGAATACTATTCTTTATATGCAAGGTTAATTTACTGTGTGTGAAATTGTAAAGGACAGCATACATAAACTTACGATTATGTGATCTACAGTTGAATATATTCTCCCAAAGGGATATTAGTAGTTCAGTGTACTATCACATTGTCCATGATTATATTTTTACACTTTGCAGAAACTGGATGCCGCGACCAACTACAGAAAATGCAGGATATACCAGGCAGCGCGAACCGAACGAGCCACGACAGGTGTGAAAGCGTTCCAGCTCGCTTGGGGGCGTAACTTTAAACAAAGGCGATATGTTGCTGGTCTGCCAAAGGGAACAATAGGAGCATTGCTGGCATGCTAGTTAAAGACGTGGAATAGAGTGAGCTTCTTCCGACTTTTTCGTCTGGTGGATCGATCAAGTGATTTGTTTTTGTCACATCATTCGGGCCACTACATCACCCACAAATGCATGGCATGTACTTTAAGAAGAAGTGCTTGTCAAACTGACTTCTGAACATCCGACGGAAAGTCGAGCGAGTTACGGTTGGCTTCATGTCGACAGAGCGAAGTTGTTCGACTTCTCAAGTTAATGTTTCAAGGAGCAGACCAATATTCAGAGGTTGCGCTTTCCACACAGCTACGTCCATTTACTATGGGGCCTTCTAATGGACTATGGACGATTTGGCTTTGGTTCCATCGGGAATGTCGAGTAACCTCTTTAATTTCCGTTAGCATGCATGAGAGTAATGTGACCCCAAGCGTTAATTAATTACTTAATGTAAATACCTCTGGGTCTAATTATTGAAACAGACACGATGTGTGACGACCTAATTGATGGCTTATCGGATGAAATGCTGTACGTTCTAATCATACTGTAACGCCGTCTTAAAAGGTTGACTTACTCTTGAAACCAAGGATTTGGGTTGTAAAAAGTCGAAATTAACTCGTTTGTCAAAAATTGGTTGCAAAGTTAACGATGCATGCCAAATGTAGTACCAGAATAAACCCCATGGTGGTTCTTCCAAGTTGTTAACATTCAGATAACAACGCAAATTGAATTGCAAATATAATTTGCAGCAATTATTCTTAGATTTCTCCTCAGCACCCTTTGACATAAGGATTTGAAATTTAATTTCGTCTCTTTATCATTCTTTTCATCTCTTTGTTGTCCTTATATGTATGCATGGCCATCTAACATTAGGGTAAAAATGAGAAACTGTTCCATTTGGTCTTCAACGTGTCAAGTGAGTTCAGTCCATCGAGAGACGTTGTTCAGAGGCGAGACGGTAACTGGTAGACTCATTGGGAGATATATACACATACGTTATGTTTACAGGCCTATGATAAATATATATATGTAGATTTCATGACTATGTTTTCTGACAAAACCATATCTTATCGCTTGTTTTAAGCAGAGGAAAACGTTCATAGATGTCATAATAACGCAGGCTCCACGCCAATGTTTTCAATGCCAGTGTTAACGGAAATAAATACATAAAACACGGTATATTCATCGGGGTCGCTGAAGTGTATTATATATACAATAATATACAGCATGTGTCCATAACATTGGCACTCGCAAACCCTAAAAACTATACAGTGCCGGGACCAGTTTGTTTACTGTGACATGCGATAGTAATCAGCTTTTAATTATGTCTATTATTCACTATTTATGTTTCGTTTGTGTCTATTACATGTATTTAAACCTTTATGAGACACATTCCTTGCGTACCGGTAAGGTAGAAGTTCGTTACTATTGGTTCTTACAATGCCAGTGCAGTGTTTTAATGATATTATACTCCATGCAAAACAATGTAATGGAACGCCAAATGCCATGACACATAGGCTACCTTTGGATATCAGCAAGTTCATATATGTTTGAATACAAATCATTTCATAACACAAGATGGCTAATGATATCTTCTCAAAGAATGACATATTACATGTTCACCACAATGCATTGTTAGAAACACACCTTTTCCATATCATGCTAAAATGTCAGGAAAGCAATAATTATAACAGCTACTACCAACATATCTTCTTATTAAAGTAGGATTTCATTCATGACAACAGATGGCATTTGTTGGCAGACAGTCAGTTAGTCTCTTGTAGCCAATGAGACGTCGCATGTGCACACGAGGAAGGCTATATGAATAAAACGATTCTTCATAAAATACAATGTACACTGAAAAGAATAGTTCCCATTCGTATTGCTAAGAAAACAATTCAATATTCGAATGAGAAACTAAATAAATCAGGCATATTTAAATACTTTCGTCATGCATTGCTCCAGCTGGTGAAGAATTATTACTTGTGTATGGATGCCCCCTGATAGTGGTTCAGGAGGAGATTGTCCACTGATTATGCTGTGCTCTGTCTACAATTTGTAATATGACTCATTCAGTTTATACATGTATAACGTGATAAGGAAAGCCTTATCAATGCATTAAGTAACAGATGGGGATTTCTACATGTAGATGAGCTGATAATGGTGCCAGTCCATTACAATGTCAGCTAGTGCTGCCCGGCACTGAACCTATTCCCGTCTTGTGTTCTGCTCACTGCAACGTCGTTATAGGCGTTAAACGTCGCCTTTACGACATCCCGCTATACGTGATATTTCCGTACCCCGACGGAACATCGTCTGCTGCCTTTTGAAGTTCATCTTCATCCGGGAAGTTAGCACGTGCTTCGGGTTGACGTTAATGTGATACACTTTAACAGTCTGTTTGCCGCCAGTTTACATCAATTTCACATCAATTGACCTTAAAGGTTTAATCAGGTGACGGATAACAATCTACAAATCTAACAATGATAAAAGTCTCACCAGTTACATGACAACCTTGATTTTTCCTTGTAAGCTGAGGAGGTATTCCGTTCTTTCGTGCTATATAAATAAACGTATTTGATTGTTGATGCCTCAAAGGTAGCATGTAGCAATCGCAGCGTTTATTACTGTCATCAAACATTACTATCGTCTATAAACGCGTCCTCTGTCCTGGTTCCAAGCGCGTGCACGCAGTCAACTGCCTTCATAGCTCACTCCAAGCGTCGCTGTGAGCCTGTATCAGATCACATTGATACGCTATCTGTGATGACCCATTTCACCCTTCATCGTTAGACTCTGTTCTTCATTACTATCACATAACAAATTCCATACTGAGAGAATGTGGCATTTTTATAAGGGTTAATTATAGGTGCAACAGCTTAATAGCTCTCATTTAGATGTCATATTTAGGACCAGGGGGAGTAATTTTAGCTTTTGTGTTAAAAATGAAGTCAGATACGGTGAATGTATGTTCTCTGGGGCGCCAAAAAGACATTATGTTTAACAGCAGAAACATAAAGCTCTAGTGTTCGGATTAAGATGCATATACATTTTATCTTGTGTCTTGAGAAGCTTTGCATGACTTCCACGGTTGTGTTGAATGCGTGTCAGCTCAGTGTGTATGCTATCTTTTAGAAGATGTCTTCGTACTATTGACAACACTTCACACAATGTGCTCTGGCTGTGTGCTGTGGACCGCTTGGTCTTGGCATAACATGCTGCCAAGTTGGACGCTACAAGAAGCAATTATTACACGGTTGCAAAGTAGTGCTTCAATTCGGGTCCGCTCCTGACACTGCTATTGATTCCAACACGCCTTCTGGTGGATGCAATTACAACTTTTCGGGTATCAGTAAATTAGCACTATGTTTAGTCAATATACCTACTATTCGCCGTCACTAAAACATTGATTACATTTAACGGAAAACTTTCATGTTCTGAAATAATTAGACGAAAAGTGTTTTATTATTTACATTTTTTTAGTGGCACTTGTTAGTCAATTCAGAACGTACGTGTTCAACTAATATATTCATCGTATAAAAATGAAGAAAACTGTTCGGAAATAACAAAATAGAAACATCGTCAATTGATACTTCCACTATCCATCGTGATGACACTAGGTCAGAGATATGGAAAATATATATTTTATCAACTAAAGCTTGTGGTGGTATTTTAAGTCTCAAATCCATGATTGATCATAATAATGCAGGAGGTAGACATGGAACCAATAACTTTAGACAGGTTGCAGTATGCCACTATAACTTCTTTGCTTTCTGGAATCGGGATTCTTTGCAATATTGTTTTGTTCACTCTCGTTGACCCGTAAATCCTTACTCCTGAACACGGCATGCAACATGACGAATCGCATTTCACCATACTCATTTAGCAATGAAACTCCATACAAAGTGTACATCAGCTCTCTACAGCGTCTGGTAGTTCCTCCACGACTCAAGATGGCGGCAACCTGCGTGCGCACTTCGATGAAAGTGAATGTGGCAGTATCGAGCCACATCAGCAGGTGAATCTCAACAGACTACTAAAATACCGATGCATGGGGTAGAACCCTTCTCCATATCTCCGAGAACCACTCGCTGAATCTTTAATTGTCTTTATCAGCGGCAGTGGCGTTCAGCCACGTCGGCGAACTATTAAAACTAGAAAGTTGTCAAGACAAATACGGAAGAACTCCTAATCTTGAATTTCCGCCATTCCATGCGTAATGGTCCCACTGCTCGTCCATTCTTCAAGTTTATTTGGCAGTGTTCCGAGTTTGCTGATTATGTAGGACCAAACCTCTCTGACGAAACCACCTCACTTGGGTTTCAATTGTTGTACTTTGAGGCCTCCGTTTAACACACAATAACAGCAGACATTATTGCCTCCCACACAAACATAAATATCCCAATCTGTGAATTCAGCAAGAGACTGCATTACACCTCACATATTCTCTGTTGACAGACACAGGCATCATCTTGGATTAAGAATGAGTATCACTGCAAAGAGCGTCACAAACACAATGTCTCGCCATGAAGCACACCTCCTTCCAGCACCTGAGCCCTTGGGCGTGTCATCATTCATATCTGCAACACAAACATAGACGTGCAAAATGGTTCTTTATAATCACAATGCAAATACTGTTTCGTTAATTTAACAGGTTTTGTGTTCTTACATTTTATGCGGTCAGTAAAGGTTAATAAATGTTGAATTAATAAATTTGTTCAAAACATGGATGCATAATAACGTTCCCATGATAGATATGACAGAATGACATCAAATCCTGTTATTCACAATAACAAATGTTACACAAAAAGAAATGATTTTCTCTCAAATCATTTTATTTGAAATATTAATATCTATATAGTACTTTCAATGACAAATGTGACATAAGAAGAAAAGACTTTACAAAACACAAATTTCGTTCTTAGTTGATGAAATGTTAAGCATCTTCGATAGTAGGCTCCCAAGTGGACATATTATCATGTTTTGACAAAGGTGTTGTCAGTCAATATAAATGCGCGTTTCGGAGTTTGAATTACATTTTACAGAATTACACCTTTTAGGCCGAGCTAAAAAATGATTATATTTACAAAAAAGAAACTTACCTCTTTTCTCGTTGTTCGTTTGAGCTACAATAAATAACAAAAGTGTAAATTAAGATGCTGTCATACTTTTGCAAGGAAATGGGGATTGTATAAAAGAGTATGGTTAAAGCAAAACGTCATTGAAGTTGAATAGAAAGTAAACTAAGATATCAATATCTTTTTTAGCATGAACAACAGACATAATAGCGGACTGATCAGGTAAAGCTCTATTTGATAAACATCATACTTGAGCTTATAATAAACCCCATACTACATACAGCATTGTCTACTACGTACGGACATGTGCATATTGCTATTCTTCAGAGCATAGTTTGCTGAAATAATACTAATGGTAGCAGCACACAAAGTATCTAAACTTATATTATAGATACTGAAGCAGGATTTACGACGATATGAATCTCCTGGACAAAGAGAACATAGCTTAATCGAGGAAACAAAGTACAGGGAGATTGGGAGAGATAAGGATCAGGTTTGCTTTCTTCCATTTCCACATTTTGGGATGGCAGTATAATTGCGTTTTAATCGATCATGTTGTAAAACAGGTTTCAGTGTCAAAGTACATGTAACGTTTAGACTTTGCACAGCATGCATTTTAATCTTGTTCGATTTTATGCGTGAAAACAGTAGACCTCACAGGAAAATAGAAACTCCAGACATGTGCTTGCTTCAATTCAAGAGTAACTGATTCCGACTACACACTAGCTTTGCTTTACCATTCGTGAAAGGCACATAACAACCAACTCAGTGTACCAATAACACGATCTGACTTTACTTAGGATCAATTGCGTACGTAAGTTCTTTACATACTAATCGCCATAGACTGATGGTCACATCTGAAATAGAGTCGATACCTCTTGGGAGTATTCATCTTGGGGATGATAGGCTAGATATATTGAAGTTGGAATAGATGATATGCTAGCGACGACAATAGGTCGATAGGACAATAGGTATGGCAAGGCCTTCTTTGATATAGTGCAAACAATTCCTACAGTCATGAGAATCAGCTGTGATCAACAGTAATACAGTGAGTGAGTGAGGGAGTGACTGAAAAGGGTTTAACGCCGCTTTTAACAGTATTACAGTTATATCACGGCATGTCAGCTTAATGTGGGAGGAAAGCCCGAAGTGATTCAGGTTTCAGACGTTTACCACTTCGGTGAAACCCACGAGCGCGGGTATGGTGCTGATAACCCTGAAACATAATCGGGGCGAACCGGGATTCGAACCTACAATCACAGGTTTCTGGCGTGCCCAAGGGACGCAACTCTGCACAGAGAATCGCGGTGCCTTAGACGACTTGGCCACCCGTGCCCCCTCGGTGATACAGTTCATGGATGATATACGAGGTATGAAGACACCGAGTGACAACATGAATATACGTTGTACTACAGGTTATTTGTTTACTACATCCTTTGTGATGGGTACATATAGAACAGATCAAACCACAACATTTAAGATCCTGAAGTCCAATGCGTCTGTCAGTGGTACGTACATTGAACGTGTCGTATGTGAGAACAATATACATCCATTCAGCAAACCCAGATGGAATCTGACAGTTACGATTTTCAGAAAGCCACGTGCCGTCACGCACCGGTACCAAGTCTGTAACTAAAACGTCTGTATGTTCAACAGCGTATAATGTACAAGTAATGTATTTCTTGGCACCTTCGTCTGTTGACCCGTCATTATGCTTTGTTGGTTGACTCGAAAATAGGAATCTCGCTTTGTCAAGCAACGGTGTTCTCAACTTTCTTAAACAAAACATGTCCTTACTTGATTCTCCGTCATAATATTGGTAATGTGAAATTGCCACTTAGGGTCAAATTGTGCCCAAAGTGATCATAACATCATCATAGGTACATCATGGAGCTGTATTTCCCGGTGAAGGGTAGAATCAATACGCGACGCAACTCTCACGTTACAGGTTCTTGATTACCATTTCGTATTGCGAAGACTGATTCCTTACAACTGCCTCTGCAGGCAGCAGTCTTCAGAAACAGACTATAGAGTCGAATATCGTACAGATTGGAGATTTTATATCTTGCGAAAGTTGTCTGCTTATCGAGTGAATTCGATCGCAATTGCTTCTTTGTGTCCAATCAATACCCTCTATCAACTGGTCCGTAAGGTTACTTTAATTAAGACAAATTCTGGCTCTTGTTAGAAGTTTCAGTCTGAAATTCACCTCTGAGTTAGATTGTACGCAGCCCTGAAAGCTCAGTTCTAATCAATAGACTCTGCCTGTCCCGGTGCCAGCAAAGGTGCTCCCAATCATTTACGACTAATTTTGATCGGAATTTTTGCTTTTACCATCTTCGACATTCACAGCTTTGTGCCCATCAACTGTCAATGCTTGTAATTACATTAGAAGACCTCAAAGGTTCTTGTCAAACATCTCCAAATACCATGACATATACCAGGGGCAATCGCTACAATGACCATGAAAGTGCAAAGAGAATTCCTCAAAACATCATCAGCCCGTTATATTCATGACCATTACTTCTCTTGTAATGCTGCTGTTATAATTTCAAATCAATGACTTATATCAGATGCAACTTATGAGGTACATTTACTTCCAGTTCAAAGTTTAAACTTACGTAGGAAATATAAAACGTCAAAGCCAGAGAATAACCAATCACATTTATCCGTGATTATCTGTGGAAATTAGTCCTTAGTTCGAAGGGAGCATACTTTGACATATTATTGATGCTGATATCGTAAACGATACATGAAGGTAAGGCTCTGCGTTAACGAGGCTTCTCTTCAATGAGAACATCTTTCTTTAACTCGACACATCTGTTTACCCAGCCAACGCATGTCTACTGAACACAGTAACTCTGTGTCCATATCACTTAGCGTCATTTGTTGTGAAACTATTTTATCTATATTCTTCCTCGTTACCACAAATTAATTGTTTACTAACACACGCGTTACACAACACAGTCAACCTCTAACTAAGAACGCCTTAACATTAAACGTAATCAACTTCTACGAACATATTCTACTGACAAAGTAAACGAGAAATCTGGTGTTCAAGTGAGACCCTTCAAGTGGTTGCTGTTCAGAGCGCCATGACATCAGTCGAGGGGAAAACTGGCTTAACAGTCCACGTATTATTTTTTCTGTGCTTGTTGATCAATTTTGTAAAGGTCCACATTGATGTGCTCTCATGCTAATATATGAATAATTCATAGTCCATAATGCATTTCCGCTCATGACGGTGCCTCATCAAGACATTGTGGCCTTGTTCTCAGTTTATCAAGGGACACGGGGAATTTGGTCGCTGGAATACACCGTATGTTTCGACATTTTGACCTTTTTCACCAACGTCACAAGATTGATTTTCTTTTTCTATTTTGCATTAATAAGGTTTTCGCAGTCTTCCTCCAAGGGGCACTTGTATTTTAAAGAAAATATCCATACAAGAAAAGCATGACATTTGAAACTGCAGTCAGTTTAATCGTAGTTGTGTGCACTGAATCCGACAGAGACGATTGTGACGGGCTTCTCCGCTGTCGCGTTCCCTTCTTGTATCTAACCTGATGAGTTTTAATGACGCAACATGATCAGTGCCGACGGAGGCATCAAAATGAGATTCAAATTGTACATTTAGAAACGTCGGGATCCAATATATATTGAATTTCTATTTGTATTCATTACGAAGAAAACACTTTATTCTATTTCTGGAATATCTAAATAAATCTATTAACTAAAGTAAATACACGGGACGGGATGGAGCTTGACACGTTTCCAAAATAACCAAACTTTAATCAGCTGATGCCATGCTAAGCTGAAAATTGGTTTTGTAAAACGGATATTAATTGCATTATGTGTAGCAAATTAAGGACATTTCTCTTTGTATTGTCCTTCTACAAACAACAGAAGATGTTTTTGGGCGAAGTTTGGGTTTGATAATGGTCTCCCCACGAGTGTCATTAACCGGCTCTGGAACAATAGATCCCCTAGGATACTTAGGGGTGGTTAAGAAGCCAACGTGTCGGAAAATCGATCCAAATGTTGACATCATTTGATAAAAAGTACCAACCCAAAAGTATAGGCAGTCTGGCGAATTCCCCCTAGCTCTACGTTTGGCCAGACGGTCGGAGTTTCGACATTTCTACCGACGAAGCTGCTGCATCGAATCTAAGACTAGTAGGGCGGAAATTGCAATAGAATAATGGGTATTCAATGGGAAGCTTAAAGTTTGGTAACTCGCAAAATGGATACTGAGTACACACTGGCAGTGAAAGCATTCCATGTTTGGCTCTAATCATTTTTTATTGTTTCAGTCTCGTGGCATTTGCCCTAGAGCTATAAACATTTATTGTTTATTCACAAAAAAAGGTTTTATTCCATCTGTTTAATAACAAACGTGAAGCAATATTGATGACTAGTTTTTGTGCTGCAATACGCGTGTACATGAGAATTGTTTAGACCCAATGCTGTGGCAAAATATGTATCTGTAGGCATATACAACCATAACCAATTGAACCAACCTTGATAAACATATGTTCATAAAGCGAGTACAGAGTAGACGCGTTTCCAACAACGGTCAAACGTATAAATGCAATTGAAAATATATATTCCGACATGGCAGTTCAGGTATCATAAACACACTTTCTGCTATTAAAGATTTTTACCAGGTGCTTCGTTCTTAGTTCTTCCTTCCCAATTCAATGATAACTAGCATATAAATTCAATTCGTAACTACTCAAACTGAGCTAGTGTTAGACATTTGACACGGCAAAAGTGGCAACTGAAGTGTGTATATGGTTTACAACAGAACTGAAAATATGGACGTACAAAGGTCCAAGGAATTATATCTAATATACTGTTTCTTCATCAGATCGGCTGTCGTAAAGGCCAGCATAACCAAAGCATATATATGATTTATTGCTTTGCTGTGTCTGCAAATATGATTGATTACTTTTTTGGCCGTTTAATATACCTGTGTAAGGATAACTAAATAAAAAATGAAGCAATTCCCACTCTTTGATTTGATATTGTCGTATGGACCTTTCTCC